ATTTCAGCAAAAAATATTACATTTCTGTGAATGTAGTATATCAAGCACAGTATGAATAGAATATCATTGTAATATAACAGAATTTTAACCGAAAACTATTAAAAAAACGAATAACATCTCAAGAACATCGGAAGCTGAGGTAAAGTCTTTTGTTTTCGACATGTATTTTATCCTATTTTACATTGAAATACATCACGTTTCAGCAAAACTACTATTTATTTCCGAGAATATATTCATTCAGGCGCAGTTTAGGTAAAATATACGTGTGATGTAATAGTTTTTTAACTGAAAACGATTCGAAAAACACGTACCCTCTAGCCCTGTTCAAGGAAAGGACTGGGAGAAGCTGTTTGGTGCTGCAGACGATGACAAGAAAAATGATTTTGATGGATTTTAATGAAAATATTCAGAAATATGGTATCGTAATATTTATTCAAGTCAATTAGGATATTATTGTAATACAATACAACAGTTTTTTAACTAAACCATTCGAAAAGTGATTACGGTAACATCTTTTGAACGAAAGAAAGCGAGTCATTGTTTTCATCACAATTTTATCCCACTTTCCACTGTAATACGTATGTCATTTCAGCAAAAAATATTACATTTCCGTGAAGGTATTATATCAACCACAGTATGAATAGAATATCACTAATATAACAGTATTTTAACCGAAAACTATTAAAAATACGAGTAACATATCTTGAACATCGGAAGGTTAGGTAAAGTCTTTTGTTTTCATGTAGTTTATCCTAATTTACATTGAAATACATCACGTTTCAGCAAAACTACTATTTATTTCTGAGAATATGGAAATGTAATATTTTTGCTGAAATGACGTACGTATTATAGTGGAAAGTGGGATAAAATCGTGACAAAAACAATAACTCGCTTTCTTTCGTTCAAAAGATGTTACCGTAATCGCCTTTTGAATGGTTTTCAGTTAAAAACTGTTATATTACAATAATATTCTATCCTAATTCACTTGTGATGTAAAAGTTTTTTAACTGAAAACGATTCGAAAAACACGTGTACCGTCTAGCTGATACGGCAGAGCCCTGGTCGCGGAGGCTTTGTGTTTGCATCGGCCCTTCTTAAGCAGCCTTTAATTTTAGCGTACGTTGAAATTGTGTTTACCGGTGTATTCTTATTTTCTTGCTTCTTATTTTCCAGAAATATGACAAGTTTTTATATAATACAATGTTACGGTACAGTGGGGTATGCTATAACGAACGTAATTGGTTCCAGAACCTCGTTCGTTATAGCATTCGTTCGTTATTGGATTAATCCTTTCCAGGCCCCCAAATACAACCACTTAACACTGAAAAAATTCTGTGGAAAATGTAAAAAATACGGTACTTTATCTTACCTTAGTGTTATTCAGCATGCAGGTACCCCTAAACACTGGCACATCACTATCACTTCCACTGGGAGTCTTGGCTTTAAGGTCCTCAAACAATTGTTTAGCCTTCTCACAAATTATAGCTTCACTAATGTTACCACCTGCCATTTCTTTCTCCTTTATCCACACTAAGAGTAAATTTTCCATCTCTTCAATCACATTACACTTTGCTTTGCTAAGTCTAGAGATTCCCTTAGCCACTTGCACAGTTTTTAACTCCTCTTTATTCTTCAAAATCGTACATATAGTCGATTTAGCCATCCCATGTTCATCACTAAGTTTCACAATGCTCCTTCCATTCTCACGTTTCTTTATAATTTCTTTCTTAGTTTCAAGGGTTATTAGCTTTCTCACTCGCTTTGAACGATTCATTGTTACAATTGTATACTTGTACAACAAAATAGTTATACAAATAACGCGAATTTCCACATCAAAAGACGAAATTTCAACAATAACAGTGGTGCACTGGCTACACAATGAGACAAAGATGGCGCCTGACGCTCTTGTTGTGGTCGCGGTACAACAATATTCATGCGCCAGGCGAAGTAGTCCTGTATTCATCCGCGTTCGTTGTAGGAGTTGCGTTCGTTATAGCATTCTCAATTTTATAGGTAAAACCGTTCGTTATAGGAATATTCGTAGTAGGATCCGTTCGTTATAGCATACCCCACTGTACTTTTAATTTACAAGTATTCATTTTTAAAAATACAGAAGGCACCAAACAAATACTAATACGGATATTTGCGTCTCTCTCCCGCCAAAAAAGACCAAACAGCTGGTACTCTCTCCCTCATCCCTACCAAAAATAGCCCAACATCTTTCTTGTTTATTCTCTTCCAATTTCTCACTTTAACTGGTATTTTTTACTTCATATTGCCTACATCAGATAAACTACAGTAATTGAGGTTAGATATTGTTATAAATTTGATTACCGGGTCCTGGCAGGTACCGTTAGAACCACCTGACCCTACCAACAGTGTTGCAAGTCAGACAGCATTTTTTTTTTTTTACATTTTTGGTGTCTCCATTTGTTAATTTTTTTTTCTGTGGGGTTTGCACAATAGTATACTGTTTTACCTACAGTATTGTAAAATGATTTGGGAAAAGAAATACTCGGTAACTTAAAATTTTAAAAGGAAAATTTTGAAACTGGCAACTGTGTGTAGATGACCTGACTCGCATCATATTGATGTTTCAAATTTAATTAACAAAAATTTATGTATCTATAAATAAACTTTTAAAAATGAATACTTTATGTTTTACATACTCCTGTGCATACCATACCATGCATTTGGCTACTTTGGGCTTGCTATGATGACGCAAGAGATCTGCCCTGGCAACTGTACCGACACTCACAGCGGGTGGTGCGTTGGTGCGTCGTTTCCATTGTTTACTGGTACTGTAGTTACTGGTAAATATTTTTCAACCTAACGAAACTATTACCCGTATAGAGGTCGACCCCCAACTTTTTGCCCAAAAATTTGGTCTTAAGAACTCGTGCTATACACGGGTATATACGGTACGTATTGTTTCTCAATCTTGACCTTTTTTCATTTTGTATTTCTTTATTGTTATTATCATTACATTTTGTCCCCAAGGCCCCGATGTGGGTCAGTGACCTGTGCACGAGTGGGCCCCTGGTGTGTAAACCTTACCTAACCCAACAGGACAAAAGAAAAAAAACTTAAAGAACTAAACCTGAAATTGTAAAGTCAGAAAAATTAAAAAAAATTAAAATTTCTGACAAAAACACTATAGAGTAGAGTAAAGTACTATGCAGTATTCATATTTTTAAGATGTCTATCTCCCCATACAGTATACAAATCACTATGTATAGTACAGTATAGAGTTCCGTGCATGGTCATTACCGAATATTAAACCAAAATTTTTCTGTAGATGATGATAAATTGCTCTTTCTGATAATAATAATATCCCCCCCCCAAAAAAGGATGACGATGCTAATTCTTACTGTTGTCATAGTAAGTAGGATTTGCACGTTTCCTCATACAGGAGGTCCCCGACTTAAGAACGCCCGTCTTGTCACCCATGTCTTATGGTTGGACTTCCAATAAACTCTAAGCTTTCCTCTTACCACTTTTTGTTGCTTGAACACCCTGGGGTTCTCAGAGTGGTAGACAAGCATAGACTTCAGTCGGAAATCCCCTGAAGCATTGGCACCAAGCACTAGAGTGAGACGGTCTTTCATGGGTTTATGCCCAGGTAAAGAGGCTTCATCTCTGGTGATGAATGTTCTTTTGGGCATTTTCTTCCAAAACAGCCCAGTTTCGTCCACATTGAACACTTGCTGTGGAAGATAATTTTCTTCATCCACCAGTTTGTTAAAGTCCTCTACAAACTTTGCTGCTCCTTCTTTATCTGCACTTGCAGCCTCACCATGCCTAATAACACTGAAAATGTCACTTCTTTTCTTAAATTTTTCAAACCAGCCCTTGCTTGCCGGAAAATCTTCGAACTCTGTGCCAGAAGAACCAGTTTGATCTTCCTTTAAATGTTCGTAAATCTCCCTGGCTCTTTCACAAATAAATTCTATAGAAACTGAATCACCTTTCATTTGCTTTTCCCTGATCCAAATGAGAAGTAACCTCTCTGTTTCTGCTATTAGGGATCTACCTTTAAACAGTCTGGTAGATTTGTCTCTCACTTTCACTTCCTTAAACTTGTCTTTCTGTGCAAGAATTGTCGACACAGTTGATGCCGACATGCCATAGTCTTTACTAAGCACATTTGTTCTAATGACCTGTTCATGTTTCTTTATAATTTCCTGCTTTACCTGGATTGAAATAACTTTTCTCGATTTCTTTGGAGCCATGCTGGATTCGATTTCAACACTGAAATTTTAAGTTTTATTGCTGTAAATAAAGAAAATTTTCTTTAAATAAACACTGCACTGCGCTATATATTATCAATATGTAAAATTTATTTCAAAATGAGCAATAATTTGATTGGAAACACAGAAAAAAGTGTTTATGTTGAAGAGTCTCAAACAAGATGTTCCTTCCTCTGAACCTATAAACAAACTGACGCCAAGCTTGGTGTGTTGAGTGGCTGTTTGGCGCACCAAAAATCTAGTTTCTTGTACAGTACTTCAATTATGTTCAGTAATTGTTAAAATTACTAAAAAATTTAATATAACACTTTTAAAATTATTGAATAGTACAACCTTCTTGATATTTACTAAAATGGTAAGGAATTTAAGCCCTAGAACCGATTACTGTATTGGCGGACTAATACTACAGCTGGTGAACAGCCAAATGCAAGCAAAAACATGTTGGGAAAAATTATTAAGGAAATCGTTAACCGAAATTTTTTCTTTAACCGAAGTGAAGAATCTTATGGAAGGTAATTCGTTAACCGAAATTTCGTTAACCTAGGCATTCGTTAACCGAGGGATCACTGTACAGGTAAAGTTACTGATGCCCACATGTAGGGTGGCATTGTCTACCCTACTGTCTTGGGATAAGGATGTGCATTATGCATTATCTGGGTAAGATTAATCAGCTTAGTTAGCTCCAATTGGGCAGAACTTTCAATATAAAATCTATGATTTTTTTGTTCTAAGAACTTTTTTTTTCCGCAGGTTCCAGCATTCAAAAAATAAGTAATTGCCTTAGGATGCATAGGATTTTTTTGGCTCAGAAGAGAGTACCAAAGGTGAACTTGTCCAATTTCAACACAGAGATTGTGAACCCTTCATGTGTACAGCATTCCTCTGGCCAGTTGCCAGTTGTGTTCGGTCACAAAATATTTAAAAATCATTTTGTTACTGCATCAAGCTTAAGTGGTAAAGAATTCAACAGGATCAGAAAATCAAGCAATAGAACTGATTTTAAAAATTTTATTCATCAAAATATCATCAACACTGCTAATGTAAATACATCTGAGGCTGAGAGTAAAACTGAGAATGAAACTACGAGAAAGAAGGACTTCAATTTTGATGCACTTGGAGCCTGGGATAACCGTATTGACCTCCCGATCATGATGGAGGCCAGCATTAAACATGGTACTCCTATACCAATGATTGTTCCCGCTGATGTTGGCTGTTCAAGCATTCTTGGAAAACGCACATACCAAGAAGACAGGTAAGAAGGAAGAATTGCGTTTTCTTAATTGTTAAGTATTGTACAGTCACGTTCAAGATTCTTCGATTACTGCTGGAGACACCTGGCAACTCAAGGCCGTTTGTTTACTGTAGTACGTAGTAAAAATTATGAATGAATGTAAAAGGTTATCGGTGATTGGTTACTTAGTCCTCTGTTGCTTAATTAATGGTTGGGCTTTGTTGTTTTGTATTATTTTACACGACATACTATAGTAAACAAACGGCCTTGAGTTGCCAGCTGTCTCCAGCAGTGTTTGAAAAATCTTGAATGAGACTGTACCTTCATTTGTAATTAGTTGAGAATATTTCATAATGTGAACTGGGGTCACTTTGGATGGTTTTAAATTTTTTTTTTTACAAGCTGCTGTTCAAGATAAATGACCAAAAGTATTTGTTAAATATCCTATTGGTGTATGAACCAATGGCCTAGCAATGTCCAATAACTAACATTTTAAAGTTCACCTTATTTTAGATGATAAACATTTATAGGTGTATTAGCCCCTTAGTTCTTATATAAATGTCAGGGCAGTACATTGGGTTTATATAATCATATCACCCCCTGTAACTTAATCACTGTAGCTATGAGTGTTAAGATGAGGACGGAGGCTCTATTAAAGAGCTCTTCTAAATATGTCCGGTTAGTGCGAGGTGTTGAGTGGCAATCCGCAGGCAACCGGCTTTTAAATGCTGACCTTAACAGTCTTAGGGCCACGCCTCAAGGAACTTACCCATCACATGATGTGACCATGTCACCTCATAACTAGTGGAAAGTTACAGGGGGTGATATGATTATATAAACCCAATGTACTGCCCTGACATTTATATAAGAACTAAGGGGCTAAGATATTGCTCGGTCACCACCTTCCGAGCTTCCACGAGGAATAAACTAATCTCGTAGAATACATCCTATACATAAACCTAACCATGTTACAAACATAAGTGTAGACATTAAGCTGGGGACTCTGGAACCGTAGGCTCATCAACTACTGGGGTCCTAGACCTACAGTTTTGAGATTACAAGTATTCTGTGTAATTTCACTAAGTAATTTCCACATTTTAGCATATTTTCAACATTACGGTATGGTACTTAGAAAAAAAATATTGATATGGGGAAAACATTCTTCATAACTTTGCATTTTTTTGTTCATAAATTGAGTCATACTGTAGGTCAAAATTTCTTTTTTTGTAACTTCAGATTTTTGTAAACTTAACCTTCATAAACCAAGGACTGCCTGTATCATAGGAACACAAGCATACAGCTGCTCCCCAACTTACGACGGGGTTAGGGACCGACATCCAGGTCGTAAGTTGAAATGGTCATGTCGGAAATGCTTAAATAATACATAGACATTCTAAAATGGGGGTCTCTTTTTCTTCTCAGCACCACAAAACACTCACTTTTTTGCCAGCCATTTTCAAGTGAATTACAGATGAAAATTTTGTCTCTGTACTGACTTTGGAACTCGAAAATACGTAATTTGGCCAAATTTTTGTACGACTGAGGTAGGTCGTAAGTGTGAGTGGTCGTAAGTCGGGGAGGAGCTGTAGAGGAAACTGCAGCAGGTCTAATGGCCCATACTGGTCAGTCCCATTTACACCCAACCCCTATTGCTCATACTGTACTATATCCATCCAACCTATATTTAAAGCTATGCAGTGTGTTCCAGTTAATGATGATGTTTGGTAACTTGTTCCACTCCTCCACTACTCTATTTCCAAACCAATGTTTAACTAAATCTGAATTTGTCTTATTCAAAACCATTGCTACCTGTTTATTCCTGGTTGGATAATTCAAGTACCTCTGTTTAACCATAACCTCCATTTATGCACCTCAATCATATTGCCTCTCACTCTACATCTCTTGAGGGAATGCAAATTCAGATTCATTAATCTGTCTCTACTGTATACTCAATGTTCCTAATGCCCGGGAATAGTCCACATTAAATTTCATCCTGTAGATTTGCGGAGACCTCATCAGATTTAGTTACACGCCCAAGATTTAATTACACACCCAAGATTTAATTACACACCCAATTTAGTGTCATCAGCAAATTTACTTACACAGTAAACCCTCGATAACTTGGCGAATATGGAGTCTGACCTTGCAGAGTTATCACAAATTCAGACTTATCGAGGCAATTTCCCCCCTCCTACAAAAATGCAACAATAAAAAAATTATAGACCCATATTATGAACAGTGAACCCTCGCTTTACGCGGTTTCACTTTACGCGTTTCTACATTTACGCGGTACCCTGCCAGAACCGGAATTCCCACTTTACGCGGTGCATCTACTCATATACGCGGGTGAAGTATAATTTTTTTATTTAGCTCATAAAATTCATACAAATTATCCGGCCAGAATATAATTTACATTGCTGGAATTCTTACAATTTGATGATCATTTTGAATATAAGCATCATAGATTTTGCATTAGACATACAAATTTTAGATCTAATGCAAGTATTTTGTTTACTCAGAGCAAATATGTTATCTTTTGTGCAAAATATATGAAGTGTATATTCAAAATATTCCTGGTCTTACAAGGAATCCAGCAATGTCAATTATATTATCCTAACTTTAGTCTGAGGTATTATTTATTACTAAAAAGGTAAATATTCTGGTTTCTCCCACACATTTCTCTGGTAGGGAGGGTTGGTGGGGGGTTGGGGGGAGGGAGGGACCAACCGGCCATCTGGCGCGGTTGTGAAGAATATATTTTTTTTTTATTAACTGAAGATATTTGTTTTAGCTCATAAAATTCATACAAATTACCCGGCCAGAATATAATTTACATTGCTGGAATTCTTACGATTTGATGATCATTTTGAATATAAACATCATAGATTTTGCATTAGACAAACAAATTTTAGATCTACTCTAAGTATTTTGTTTACTCTGAGTAAATATGTTATCTTTTGTGCAAAATATATGACATTTATATTCAAAATATCCCTGGTCTTACAAGGAATCCAGCAATGTCAATTATATTATCCTAACTTTAGTTTGAGGTATTATTTATTACTATACCTTAAAATCTAGTGGTTTTTCCCCCAAACATTTCTCAGAGAGGGAAGAGCCAGGAGTGTGAGAAGAGGGGGAGGGAGTCGAGTCCATTATTTGAATGGACATTAACTTGGCGACTGTATTTCTCTATTTCTCTTAAGTATTAATTGTGTGCATGTACCATCATAAGATTAACATGTTATTTTTACTAGAACATAGGTATTGTGTTGGAAAAAGTGGAGTTTGGGGGTCAGCCGGTCTCTATTTCATTTAATCCCATATGTTATGTTGTTCACTTTACGCGTTTCTCTCGCTTTATGCGGGCCTCCATGGGTTCAATTGACTGCGTAAAGTGAGGGTTCACTGTACGTGTAATTACTAAATGTAAAAAAGTAACACTTACCAGCACTGCAGGCAAAGAATGAAGCATCATAGTAGGTGACACTATACTGCCTGACTGGGGTCACTAATTCTAACGGGGAATACTTAACTCTAATCTTAATTTCTAAGGGTCGCTGCCACCAGACCCCCTCTGGACAGTACGTAACTCGTTAGGTAGCGGGCAGAGTGGACTAGGCATTGGGTTAGGTTTTTCATTGACCAGATCGATAAGGGGAAAGAAGGGTGAAACCACAACATGTCTTAGTTCTTTCAATTATTCATTCTACTTACTTCAGTTCATTTTGGTAGCATGTCGGTGGTCTAGGCACATGGGTAGTGTAATTCTGATATCAGGGTCACTTGGACGGAAATAAAGGTAACTACTGTGGGAGAAATGAATACTCCTAAAATACTCAAAGAACAAGTTTATTAATATAAAATCAAAGTACCAGGCTCAACTCCTGGGCTTATTGCAGACTCCGTATTCTTATTTACTTATTTTCTCATTTACTCAACAGCAATTACTCAGATATTACACTCTTACCGTGCACACTCTTACCGATGTCACATTACATTACATAGCAGGACCAGTTCCTTGTCCTTACTCACAATACACTAATACTGATACAAACACCGACATGGGTCCACTACCCCACATGGGGTAATTATTAACAAACACATACGACCACACTGTGGACCATAACTCCAAGGCCTGTCCCAGTGTATAGCACTGGCGCCTCTAACAACTGCTGTTGTGGTCGGTTACACTCCGACACGAGGTGAGTCTGGGGTCCTTGGCCCACGAGGTAGAGTAGAACCGATTAATCATGCCGAATCAGCTCCATCACTCCTATATTGACCACTGCTGGGTATCCACCGGCTCCGAGCAACCGGTGGGTTTCAATTAAGCCCACTGTCAATCTGGGAACGAAGGTGAAAGATGATACGGGAGGTTTATTCTTCCCGCCTCGCACTGGTTTATATACCCTTGAGTTGCCAGCCATCGCTACTCATGCAATGACAGAAATTACAAACAATCTAACTGTTACTCATTCAAGGATGACCCTCAGTTGACAAAGGTCTGGTGAATTACTAAAGTTGATTTACACAGACTAATTCAAGATTGCATTTGCCAGTAGAGAGTGGAATAAACATAGTGACAACTGTGTTCGAAGGCGGGACTTACTGGGAGTGATCCTGAGTGTAAAATGAATGGGAAAACACGTCTCTCCTGAGATTCTACAAGCGCGGTGGATTTGAATGTTATGTAGCGTAATATGAATTAAAGTGGGTTTTTAGGAATGACAATGATGTGCGCAGTACAACATGGTAGGTGACACAGAGGTATGGTATGTGACACAGAGGTATGGTATGTGACACAGAGGTGTGGTAGGTGACACAGATGCATGGTATGTGACACAGGTGTGGTAGGTGACACAGAGGTGTGGTAGGTGACATAAAGGTATGGTAGGTGACAGATGCATGGTAGGTGACACAGAAGTATGGTAGGTGCCACAGAGGTATGGTAGGTGACACAGAGGTATGGTAGGTGACACAGAGGTATGGTAGGTGACACAGGCATAATAATAATAATA